TTGTGCAACAAAAAGGGGGGAGGGTATCTCATAGTTTGCATTTGTGTGTGTGTGTGTAGAAAACTTGTACACAAAACATTGCCCAAAACACAAGATTTCTAGAAACAAGACTTGTCTATTTCTAAAAGAGATGCCTAGGAACAGCATCTGTAAAGAAGGGTTGGTCAAAAACAAAAGCTGGTCTGTTCAGGAGCAAAAACACCTCAAAGCAGAGGCCCATTTTTCCCACTAGGTTTCTCAGTGTATCAAGACACACCTTTTTAATGAAGCAGAAAAATGAGTGAAGACTCATTATATCCATACTTCAGAATGCAAGCAAATCAACCAGCTCAAAATTTTCCTACATGTCCTTGCCAATTTCTAAGTTGAACTTCAAAGTTACTTTGTGAACTCTAAGTTACCCTCGTGCTGGAAAATGTTAATCTTTGGTTTTCTAAATATTGCTTTAGCACTAATAAAAATGTACTTTCGACATGCTGCTGATATTACTGGATGTCTTCATTACTAGCCTTTTTTAAAAAAAAACACTAATTTATTTCTTACACATCATGTCAGAAGTGGTTTGAAGGCAATTTGGCTGATAGTACGCTTTCAACATGATGAGAAAATTTGGTTTGTTTTACATGCCATCAAGTCACCTCCAATTTATGACAATCCTTTGGATGAGGGCCTCTTATGTGATGGCACATAATGAGGCTTTCCTTGAAAATCTTTAATTCTGGACAGAATCATACCAGAAGGGACAGTCTTTCAGATATTTTGCCATTAGTCTCTTTAGGGCTTCAGGGCTTCATCATGGTTTCCTCCAAGGTGTGTGCATGATTCTGCCCCCCTCCGCACAGGGCTCCTCCTCCTCTGTGTACCCACAGCGATCATCTTCAGCCTTGTTGGTTCCAGTCACAATGGAAGCTGGGTTTAGTCTCTAATGTCTCACTGATCTTTTCAAAGCAAAGTGTGGGACATGTGAGATCCCTAGTGATTCTACAACCCCAGTAGAAGGGCAGGCTCTCGTCTTGGCTATCAGAGTAAGAAGGAATGCCTGCTGTGATAAGCAAACATATCTCAGTTATTAGTAAGTGAAGTGATTGCTCTTCAGCTTATAATGAGATGGTTTGATACAAAGAAGCACTGAAACTATTTCAAAAATTCTCTACAAGAATGCATGCTTGATACACATTTCTCATAATCTTAACGTGCTACGTTTGCCTGCAATAAACATAACAAACCCCTTACTGCTGAGCATGATGACATTCTGCATGATTTACACTTCCATGATGAACATGACAAAAGCGGTTAGTCATGAGGAGATAGGAACCCCAGAATTATTTTGGCAAAAGCCTTAATGCAGAAATGGGGAGCATGTGTTCTGCACTGCAGCTCTGATAAGATAACATAAGATAAGATAAGAAATTTATTTGTCATTGCACTCACAAGTGGGTGCAACGAAATGAGGTGCTCTTCCCCAAGGTAAAACTGGACAACACCACTACAAAAAAAGTTAAAAATATACACAACACTCACCAGACAAATATAGATACCCCGTTTCTCCCAGCAATTAAAATTCCACCAAAAACCTATGACCCCGCATTTAAACTCAATACTGCACTTGGGTAAAAGCTGTTCTTGAATCTGCTTGTCCTTGCTTTCAGTACCCTGAATCTCCTTCTCGATGGCAATAGTTCAAAGAGCTGATGTCCCGGATGAGAGGAGTCTTTCAGTATATTAGATATCTTCCTCTTACATCTGTTCTTATACAATTCTTCCAAAGAGGGGAGTGAACAGCCAATGATGTTTTGGGCCGTCTTGATCACCCCTTGAATTGCCTTTTTCTCTGCCACCGTGCAGCTCGTAAACCATACACAAATACAGTAGGATAATATGCTCTCAATCGAACTCCGATAGAAGGTGATTAACAAACTCTCAGTCAATTGTTGCTTTCTAAGAGTCCTTAGGAAATACAACCGTTGTTGCGCCTTCCTGATTAACGCAGCGGTGTTTGCATTCCAAGTCAGGTCATTTGTTATGATGGTCCCAAGAAACTTACATTCAGCCAGAGGTGATCAGCCCTCACCTCTGGCTGCGCAGGCAAGAGCTGATGGAAGTTCTAGGTCAATACTACAAACCTCTCCCAGCATTAGTATAATCACCTCTAGTCATAGGCTGTAAGCATCTCATCCTGTGTATAACCTCTGTAATGGATGTTGCAAGGATCATCACTGGCTGCAGCCTATAGCCTTGTCTCCATGTTCTGAGCCATGGAACTGGTAAGATAATTACTTTTTGAACCGTTTGCAGATGGATGTGGACAGGGTTTGTTTGTTTTAGATACAAATGTCTTGTGAGTAAAGACCATCTAATTTTTTTTTTCTTTATCATCGGCTTGTTTTAATGTAGTCCCTTAGTTCAGTGGTTTCCAAACTTGGGTAATGCAGATGTTTTGAGTGCAGTTAGTGGTGAAGGCTTGTGATTGTTGCAGTCTAAGAACATCTGGATTACCCAAGGTCAGGAATCACTGCCTTAATTGATAATTTTGAAATTGTTTGCACAATGAACATACTGCAGCGGTGATCCTGCTAAAGCTTATGAAACAATAGTTGCCGCCTTTTTTAAAAAAACTAATTTTTGTTTCCTAGCTAAGACGTGAGAAGATTGATCTTGAAAATACACTAGAACAAGAACAAGAAGCACTAGTGAATCGTCTCTGGAAGAGAATGGATAAACTTGAAGCAGAAAAACGGTTTGTCTTGGGGGGGGTTGGTTGCATTGTTTGTGGTTA